AACGCAACCGCGACCGTCCAACGCAACCGCGACCGTCCAACGCAATCGCGACCGTCCAACGCAGCCGCGACCGTCCAACGCAACCGCGACCGTCCAACGCAACCGACAACACCCCGCGTGGGACACAGCCCTCTTCGCATCAAGCCGCCTAATCACCGCCATGTTGGATCCACTTAGGACAACCGGTAAGACCCGACTAATGCGCATGGATCTACGTCTTGGAGTACGAGACATTTGTGACCTGTCGGAGCTTGTGTGATCGGAGCTGGTGTGACAGCGTTATGCAATGCACACATTACACACGTGTTGTATGATAGGTCGGTTTGCTGTGTCTGCCATACGCCACACATCTTCTCTCGAGTTGGTCCAGGTCGTGATGTTTGCCCGCGTGCGCAGCCAAGTGACCCAGGACCTTCAAAACGCGGCTTAATGCGGATAGCACGTCGTCTTCGGCATCGCGGTGTCGACCGACTCACCAAGTCCGTTAGGTCCAACAGCGCTCCGTCACATTTCCTTTCCCACGACGTGAGGGAGTGGTGTAATATCTTTAGCGGCCTGTGGACTGAACGCTCGCAAGCCTTTGAACTGTTTTCGACAAGGCCCGGAAGAGCGGGAGTTGCCGCTGTGAGACGACGTGACAGCCATAAAGGAATCGAATAGCTCCACCGGCAAGTATCAGAATCCTAGAACGTGTGCACACGTTTCTGGTGCTTCCTTACGATGATGGCGAGCCGCGGTTAGACTTCACCGGGTGACAAAGCACCGCGCCCAGACACCTGACGGCAGCACCACACGGCGAGCTTTATAAGAACCATGGCAATTGAGGGGCGCGACTGAGATCTAACTAGTCAGTTTGTTGGACATCATCCGCCACAAAGCATCCAAGCCAGCAGGCATTGAACGCACCGTGCCGCACCAGCGTATGTTGGAACAAGTGCGCTGGTTTCGTGTAAAAGTCGAGCAGAGCTTCCTTCCTAACAGTATGACCCGTTTGGTGTACGCACCAGAAGGAAGCTTGGGTACAGTTGCAGTTTGTTTCCAGGAGCTGACGGGTGCACTGATCTCGGAAACAGCTTCGAGAACACTTCGCGTCCAAATGGAGCCTGTCTTCAACCTGCTTCCCTACTTCTTCCAATTCACCGACCTCCAGACCCGTCACATTTTTTTCCAGAAGAGTAGGGCCAAGCTCCATTGCGACCCTTTGTCTTACAAGTTTCCTTTGAGCTTCCGGCGTGTTACAGTCCACCGCACACGTGTGCGGCGCGCGGTAGCGCTCGATCGCCTCACCCACGTCCGTTGAATCGAACTTAGTGGGAAGACCGAATGAGTAACAAAATAGGTCCAGTCTCTCCGGGTCCAGTCTCTCCGGGTCCAGTCTCTCCTGGTCCAGTCTCTCCGGATCCAGTCTCTCCGGATCCAGTCTCTCCGGGCCCAGTCTCTCCGGGTCCAGTCTCTCCGGATCCAGTCTGGCGCAAACCAACCGACCTCCTTCGGCATCACACACGTCCAATCCCATCCAGCTAAAGCTACTGACCGGCTTCATATGCTTCGCCGTCATGTTGAACGCACGGTAGCAAATGTCTGCAGACGTTTCCAACGAATCCAATTCCAACCGGGACAGGTTGCCGTAAAGTCCTGACAGTTCGGAAGCAGTGTCGTAAAGCCTCGACGATTTGTATGTAGTGTCGTAAAGTGTCGTAATGGACGAAGCGGAGCTGGTGTGAGTCGGTATCACTTCCGTAGTACCGTCGTAATGCATCGACCGGTCCTGAACG